AAAATGACACGGTATGATGTGTTTACACACATTTAAATATAAAATGACATGGTATGATGTGTTTGTACACAATTAAATATAAAATGTCACAGTATGATGTGTTTACACACAATTAAATATAAAATGTCACAGTATGATGTGCTTGTACACAATTAAATATAAAATGACATGGTATGATGTGTTTGTATACAATTAACGTACCAAATATAAAATGACACGGTATGATGTGTTTGTACACAATTAAATATAAAATGTCACAGTATGATGTGTTTACACACAATTAAATATAAAATGTCATGGTATGATGTGTTTGTACACAATTAAATATAAAATGTCACAGTATGATGTGTTTACACACAATTAAATATAAAATGACACGGTATGATGTGTTTGTACACAATTAAATATAAAATGACACGGTATGATGTGTTTACACACAACTAACGTACCAAATATAAAATGACACGGTATGATGTGTTTGTACATAATTAAATATAAAATGTCACGGTATGATGTGTTTGTACACAATTAATGTACCAAATATAAAATGTCACGGTATGATGTGTTTGTACACAATTAATGTACCAAATATAAAATGACATGGTATGATGTGTTTACACACAACTGTACAAATCCTAGAAGACTGAACTGTTGGAATCATCTTAGATCCCTATTAGTTGTTTAGTAAAACAACTCTTATTTTAGAACTTATATATATGTATATATTATTATATATTGTTATGATTTTTTTTTAAAAACATTTTCCCTGTGTTTTCATGTATCTATAGAACTAAAGTATATACTGTATCATAAAACACAATTAATCACATAAAAATTGAACTCATACTGTATTACATAATAACTTTTACCATAAGTATATATAAATATTGTTTTTTTTATGAACCATATTTGTAGAGATTTTTATTTTTGTACTTAAAAGTGAGCATCCCCCTTAAACAAATCTTGGTTGCATGCATGATGTAAGGTAAGATTAGGATGATTAAAAGAAAAGTTACATTTTCACTATATTCACTCATATCAAGCATTGATTGCTGAATAATCTGCTCAGTCAACTGTGTTTGTCAGAATTTGACTTATTACACAAGGGCTATCTGTCTCTAATTTGGCAGTGATAGACTAGGGGGAAGGGAGCTAGTTAACACCACTCACTGTCAACTCTTGGACTACTCTGTTACCAATGAATAGTGGGATTGACCATGACATTATAACACCCCCACAGCGGGAAGTGTGAGCATGTTCGGCAAAGGGGATTTGAACCTGCAGATTGAGAGTCGATCTCCCTAACCACCAGGCCATGCCAAGTCTTGTCAGAATTGACTAATAACAGTCTAAGGACATGTAATACCACTAAGTCATTAACTTATTTACATGGACAGGACCCCCGTTTCATTATAGCAAGTTCTAGGTCGATAGGGAAAAGTCTGGCTGTCATTATGTGGTATTTATACTCACCTTAGTATAGTAACTTGTCTGTGTTATTGATTTCTCAGCATGTTAATGTGTTTCTAGTTTCTTCTAGCCTCAACTGTAAACATATTAATAATTTTAATGTGTTTTTTCTAAGCCTTTTTCTGTATCAACAATTTCTAAGTTAAAACCTAAAGTTGTTAATTACTTCTTAAGTTTTTCAAACCGATGATGGAATTAGAAAACAGTTTCAAAATATCAGTAATTAAATATTTTTCGGCATTACTACATCTTTTAATATTGCTTATAAAACTTTGATTTCCATCTTATGTCTCATTTTAAAATCTTCTAAGAGGTCATCCAGTACCGTCACAATTTTTTTTGTGTGAAATCATAAAGTTGTATCATCTTTGTTTTTATTGGATTGAAGTAAATGTGTTTCCACTGAATTAAGTACTGCCTATCGCACACTGTGACAAGAATCTGTACTAGTTTTATCACATGCAATACTAGGACAATTATTTACTAATGATAAATTATTTCATTCATATGAATTTTATAGACAACTATTTTTTACAATTAATTACTTTACTTCGCAATAAGTCAGACATTTAACAATGATTTTTAACAAAAAATTAGTTTATTTAGCAACAAATAATTCTCAATTTTCCGTAACAATCATATACTTTTTCCTAAACCTTACTTAACCTGATTCATGATGCAGCTTCCCTTACTATACTGGTGAAAACATTTTCAAGAGCACGCACGAGGATAACGTCAAATAAAACCTCACAATGTAATGTTTAGTATTTTTCTGATTTACAATCAATGTCACCAAATAATGCTTATTTTCATACAGTAGTTTTATTAAATCCTTGTAATGTTTAGTAATAATCTGCACAATTTTGTAAAGATACGCACACATTATCAAAAAGTATAGTTTAATTACTCTTATGAACACCATATTAGTAGGGTAATAGGATAAGTAAAGTGTTCTTCACACCATGGTAGTAAAAAAAAAAATCTGGAAAGGCAGCTATTGAGCAGCATCCTACTACTCATGCTAAGGAAACTGAATGTCACTTAGAGCTTGAAGTGTGTGAAATATTCTGTGGTGTCGCATGGATTTAAACCCAGCTCTGAAATTCATAACTCTAACACAGAGCCAACATAAAAGAACATCAATAACAAATTTCAAGTGCTTGGAAACCCCAACACAAGATGGTTAAATATTAACGATCTTGTACAACATGAAGTTTCAAGCTTGGTTACTGACCACGAAATCAAGGGTGTTTAACTAAGCCTCAAGTCACACAGTTCACTGTTCCCAGAAACATCAATTACTATTGTTTTACCCACATTATAGGATCATTATTTTAACTTAAAAGTTAAATGATACGGAACAACAGTTAAAACAGTTAAAAAGGATCAACTCAGCAATAATAAAAAAGCAAAAAAAAACTTACCATTGTGCTGGTGAAAGAGAGGGGAGAAAGGGACGATACCCAACAATTATCTCATGCGTTACAAGGCCTAGACTCCAGTAGTCAACAGTATATGAATACCTTTTGCTGTGGAACAGTTCAGGGGCCTGTAATGTACAGAATATATACATAAGATTTCATGCAAGTTAATGATGTAAATAATGTTTGAGAAATTCTTCTGCTGATGTCTAAACACCAAATTTCATTAATTCTAATCCAACCATCTCTCTTCCTTAACTTTCATTTCCAAAAATATATATGGAATTAAACATTTGTTAGGAATATTCTTTCCAGCTTTTTAAATTATTGATTATATTTACAACTATCAGAGATTTGAGACACTTGGTGCAAGACTTTTTCCCTTATCGCTCGCTTGTGGATTTTGGATATGTGGTGGGAAACCCTTCCTTTATTGCATGAAAACAAATGATATTACTCACATGGAAAGATGAAGCTATATCTACACTCTTCTCTTGTGACACCCAGTTATCAAATACAAAAAAGTTTCATCATAAAAAAAAACACTTTTCACTAAAAAACTCAATGTTTACTTGTGTTTTGGACAGATGGTATGGTAGCCGAAGGTGTGTTTTATCAATACAAGCTTAAACTCTAATAATGGTTGGAGACGGCTTGAATGATGACGAAACCTTGTCGAAACATTGTACATTTGCTGTTATGTTAAACTTATATTAAAGTTTTTCTTCATTACCCATTCAAGCCATCTCCAGCCATTATTAATCTCAAAGTGGATTCCTCGTCATCGAATTTGAAGCTTAAACTCTGAACTGAAAGTGTACATTTAAATAAAATCAGAGGAAAAACACTTGAATACAGTTCAAACAACAACCTGTATGGAAAACCTTTACTATTAAGTCTTTTCACAACACTAAACAAATAAAATAAAAAACGTCTTGTCTCCAATAAAGCTGTCTCTCTGAACTGAAAGTATACATTTAAATAAAATCATAGGAAAAACACTTGAATACAGTTCAAACAACAACCTGTATGGAAAACCTTTACTATGAAATTTTTTCACAACACTAAACAAATAAAATAAAAAACGTCTTGTCTTCAATAAAGCTGTCTCTCCAACCTTTCCTCCACAGACTACAACAACAATCCTTAACCTAACTTGGACACACTGTGGAAGTAACAGAATAATAACAGTAGTGTAGTGGGTTGTTTTAAAATAAAAGGAAATTATATTTACCAAATATTGTAAAGTTCCCACAAAAGATGTACAGATGCTCCCTTGGTCCAATTCTTTGGCATAACCTAGATCAATCAGTTTGTACTGCAACTGTTGGAATAGAAAGGGGGAAATTGCAATATTTACATGCATAATGATCAAAATTCACAAAACAATTTTTCTTATACAAAAGATAGTCAATATTTTTGACAGAATTATTGTTATTATACTATAAGTATTTGGCATAATATAAAGTAGAATTATATTATTTCCATAAGCCTTTGTAGTCTTTCTCTACATTGTTTTTTTTCTTTATTAAAAAAAAAGGAAAGAATTAGTGACCTACTTTTCCATCATTTTCTTGCAACAGAATATTCTCCGGCTTCAGATCGCGATGAATTATACGTCTCTTGTGTAGGTATTCTACAGCTGAGGCAATTTGTCGGAGAAAAATCCTTACATTTTTTTCTGGTAGACCACAACAGTTTTCTGGCTTTCCAAATTTCTAATAAACATTAGCAAGAAAGTATTTCAAAAATTTTCTACTAGTATTTACTTACTGCTTCTGTTTCTAAAAACAAATCTGTATAGAGTTTAAATAAAATTTATTGTAAATACACTATAAAATCTACGAATATAAAACACGTGTTAACAAAATAGGGATTATGACCAAAAAACATCATTAACGGCGAATGTCCCCAATTGATAAAAGTTAATGTATTTCCAATAATACTTACCTCCTTTGACACTACAGCTATTACTCTACAGCTAGGGTTTCTTCCTTTATCCATCTAAGCATTATCAGATTTTTTATTGCTTGCTTCAGTCTTTTATTTACCACTTAATTGCCATTGGCGATATTTGTCTCGTGACACTATCAACCTACATCAATACACACACACTATCTTGGTACTGTATATAAGCACCTCCTTTGGGGCAAAGGAAAAGAAACCCTAGTGATTGAGTAACAGCTGTAGTTTGAGAGAAGGTTTTGGAAGGATGCTTTCTGATCTTTATAAATAAAAACATAAAAAGGAAAAAAGTATTATTAATTAACTATACTAACTGCCAAATTTATTTTTAGTTTTGCTTTACGTACATAGCTCGCTTTAATTGGAAATTAAAATGAATACGTAAGAGTATGTAACCCACAGAATTCTATGGAGAGTTCTTGTTAGTCTAAGTCTCCACTTCAGTCCACTAAGACTATTTAACCCACAGAATTCTATGGAGAGTTCTTGTTAGTCTAAGTCTCCACTTCAGTTATTAACACACACTTTCTGTCTTCTGTTACACAACAAATTCTACTAAACATGTAAAATAATGAAAATTATAAAAAATGGCATGAAAATTTAGCCAATGGAAAATTATTCCAACTATTCTAAAATATATTTTTATTAACATTTCATGAGGTCCTTTACCCAAAATGTATTCTAACACTTGTAAATATAACCAAACAGTGATAGATATACTTCAAATTTACAAATAACCTTAGAACAATGGTGATTAACATTTTAAGAGTTTGCTTTTGTTTGTTCATTTCAGACTAAGTTTCTGCTGTAGTTCAAAAATTTAACATACAAATAAGAGTGGGCTGTAATCAGCCCTTCTTTCAAACTGAAGAATAGACGTGATGGGTCGGAGAAAGCCGAGACCTCTGGTGTTAGTACATTACTCTAGTGCGGCCCAGCCTTCACTGCAACTTAAATTAAAATACAAGTCTGTACTTGTGCTGGACAGAGAAATGAAGATAATTATCTTTAACGTCAGAAGCCAACGAGCTAAGGTTTGGTGTGCCCTTCATCTCAACGTGAAACCAGACCAGTAAACTGTTGAGACAAGTTTCTAGCTTTGAGATGTTCTTAGAACAACAATAGAATTGGAGTGCAACCCAGGCAAGGATGCACCATCTTATAGTAATATGAACAGTGTTATAGTAACATGAACAGTGCTATAGTAACATGAACAGTGTTATGGTAACATGAACAGTGCTATAGTAACATGAACAGTGTTATAGTAACACGAACAGTGTTATAGTAACACGAACAGTGCTATAATAAGATGAACAGTGTTATAGTAACATGAACAGTGTTATAGTAACATGAACAGTGTTATAGTAACATGAACAGTGCTATAGTAACATGAACAGTGTTATAGTAACATGAACAGTGCTATAGTAACATGAACAGTGTTATGGGGTAACACGAACAGTGTTATAGTAACACGAACAGTGCTATAGTAACATGAACAGTGTTATAGTAACATGAACAGTGTTATAGTAACATGAACAGTGTTATAGTAACATGAACAGTGCTATAGTAACATGAACAGTGTTATAGTAACATGAACAGTACTATAGTAACATGAACAGTGTTATAGTAACATGAACAGTGCTATAGTAACATGAACAGTGTTATAGTAACACGAACAGTGTTATAATAACATGAACAGTGCTATAATAAGATGAACAGTGTTATAATAACGTGAACAGAGCTGAATTTATAGTGTCACAGGAACTGTTAACAGTATTCAAGGGAGTGAGGCAGAGCATGACTAAAGAAACCTAAATGCATGTAATCCAGGAGTTAAATGAATCAAATGTTATATTAATAACAGAATCTAAACATCCTCACTCTACTTGGAAAAATTAGTACAGTTCTGCAAAAAGAAGTTAGGGTGAGTGAAGACATGATTAAAAGATACAACAGTACTGCAAAAAAAGAGCTTAGGGGTCAATGCAACACGATTAAAAGGAGAAGGGACTTATTACCATAAGTCTATAATAAGACTATACAATAAGACTATACAGTTAATGTTGAAAATATTTTCCAGTTGTTTATACTTTATTAGGAACAGTAATAAAGATTATATTTTTTGTAAAAAGTTTTTTATTCACAAAATGTTCTGCAAAATAAACATTAATTATTTAGTATTATTGTTTAAAACCCACGATCAAGTATAAACACAGTTTTAATAAAGATAAACACGGTTTTAATAAAGATAAACATGGTTTTAATAAAGATAAACATGGTTTCAATAAAGATAAACTCAGTTTTAATAAAGATAAACATGGTTTTAATAAAGATAAACATGGTTTTAATAAAGATAAACTCAGTTTTAATAAAGATAAACATGGTTTTAATAAAGATAAACACAGTTTTAATAAAGATAAACACAGTTTTAATAAAGATAAACATGGTTTTAATAAAGATAAACACAGTTTTAATAAAGATAAACTCAGTTTTAATAAAGATAAACATGGTTTTAATAAAGATAAACACAGTTTTAATAAAGATGAACATGGTTTTAATGAAGAAAAAACAATTTTAATCAAACGAAACAAATCTTACTTTTCTCAAATCACCACCAGCACAATATTCCATAGCAAGCAGAGGGAGATCACAGCTACTTGTATCTAAAGCTGGGGGAACTTCAAGAGCAGTAATAACATTTGGATGCTTTAATTTCCTCATGATTTCAACTTCTAACTTCCACCTTTGTCGATGTTTTGGAGTCATCATGGCATCTTTTCCCCAACGACATTCCTTTATAGCAATTGGTTCATTTGTTTTCTGTGACATAAAGATAGCTGGTCATACACAATATTGCAAAAAACACTGTTAAACCTTAGTTTACTTAATTATTTTTAATTGTTTTTCACTTGATTGGTCAGTAAATCTTAGCTGTCAGTCTAATACTTAAAAAATTAGGATTACTAGCTACATAATGTGCTTACATAGGGCAAGCATGTTTAGTGATGAGGATTTGAACCCATGACCTGCAGATTGTGAGTCAAGGGACATAACAACCAGGCCATGTCAAGCTCTACATATTATACTAATGATAAATATGTTTAAGACACTAGATAGAATCATTGGTCTATATATACGACTCCTGTCGTACCAGTTAATGATACCATTCTGCAAGATGTAAAGGTCAGTATCCTCACCAATGCTTATTCTCGCCCATGCTGTATTTTCCTCACTACCATGTGCACCATGCTTCTCTATGAAAATGGGTGTTGGATCTGGTTCTAGCTGCTTCTTCTAAGTTATTATGTGCTTCTTATATGGCTTCAAGTATACTGGATGTGATTTTGACACCATTACTAGTAAACGTTTCGTGCCATACTTTGACATCTGGCATATGGAACAATATTCCGAGGCCCATTGTTAATCACATGTTCTGTAATAGTTGCAGCATTTAACGTGTGGTTCAATCTTTGGACAGATACCCATCATTTATAATGGTGGTTCTGTCTTGCCGTAGTTGCAATATAACTACAGTTATAACAGGTGGGTTTAATCAGAAAAGTGGTGTATATTTCAAGAACAACAGTGATTGTTAAAACAAAAATCAGACAAAATAAACAGAACAAATAACAAAACGTTTAATTAAAAATTTACCTGATTTCTCCACAAATCCACACGTCCAAAACCTCCTGTTCCAAGAACTTTCTCTCTTTTCCAATCACCTTTGATATTTTCATCCCCATCTGATCCACTAAGACTTGGTCTCTCTTGTTGGTTCATAGTGACATCTCAATTATAGTAACAAGTGTACAGGTCACTCTAATGTCAATAAAATAAAAAAACAACATACATTCTGTGCAAATTATAAGAACTTACGAGTGAAAGTAAAGAAAAGTGTAACAACATTTCAACGACACTATATATGGTACATCCAGTGTTGACAACATCTTTGGTTACATACCACGAATCTTCAGGTGTTAGTTGGACAGCTGTGGTCTAGACACTATTTACATCCTTAATTACAACATACACAAATTATAAGAACTTACGAGTGAAAGTAAAGAAAAGTGTAACAACATTTCAACGACACTATATATGGTACATCCAGTGTTGACAACATCTTTGGCTACATACCACGAATCTTCAGGTGTTAGTTGGACAGCTGTGGTCTAGACACTATTTACATCCTTAATTACAACATACAATTAATAAAGTCAACAACAACAAAAAGATATATGATATTTATATCCTTAAGGTCGATCTAAATACATTCTTGATATAGTTACTGTACTCATGGGCTAATAATAATGATGTTCATGTTTGAAAATGAACCAATAATTTTACTTTAAACACTTACATGTATCATCGTTTATTTTTTTCTTTGTTTCTATGGAATAACCTTCACTATAAGTTCGTTAAAATAAGAAAGTGCTTGTACAGAGCACTTCTATAAGTAGAGAGTGTTCTATACTATATGACAAATGTAAAGGCAGTAAATACATGTAGTAGTTAAAAAATCATTTTGTGTTTCATGCTAAAATATACAGACTTAAAAAATTATCTTTTGTTCAAATAATAAATTTCAATATTTCTATCAAGTAATTAAAATACTTACGTGTAACAAACTAGAAATTCATTTGAAGATACCAAAATTAGAAAAAATTAAACCAGACACATAAGTTAATATGAGAGATTTTCAGGCCAGCTACGGTAAACACACACACACACACATCATGATCAATTATTTCTCTAAGAATCTTACTAATCAGAAAAACCTAAAACTTCTAATTAACTGAGTATGTGTACACTGAGAAGTTCCATTAGCCAATCTGATTATTACTTAATGGCGAGAATGGTTGGACTACGGGACATAAATACAGATTGTGCAAGGGTAGGAGTTGTATTTAACTACGACAGCTTTAAGTTTCTAACAGGGTGGTTGGTTTTTGGAATGGGTTGTCTTCAGTTAATTTAGGGGGGAGTTTAAGGGATGGCTTGATAAATATGTGAATGATAAGAGTTGGCTTTAAGTGTTTTTATTTTAAAATTTAGTCTACTGAATGGGATAGAAATGGACTAATATTTCCTTCACTGTCCTCAAATTATATGTATTTTTAAGACAACAGTACACATCTTTAAGGTCAGTAAAACATACATAAGGCCCAGGTTAAGACAGTCGTATTTTGGCAACAGGATGATTAGTGGTAGCCATCTTAGAAGAGTTTAAGAGGAAAAATTGATGATTTTCTGGGAATAAAAAAAAGGATGGATTTAATTTTAATTTTCTTGAGAGTGGATGCCAAGGGGTGCAATGACAGCCTTGAATACCAAATGGTCCCTTATTGTCTGTACGGGGTGCAATGACAGCCTTGGAGACCAAATGGTCCCTTGTTATTTGTACAAGGTGCAATGACAGCCTTGGAGACCAAATGGTCCCTTATTGTCTGTACAGGGTGCAATGACAGCCTTGGTGACCAAATGGTCCCTTATTGTCTGTACAGGGTAAAATGACAGCTTTGGAGACCAAATGGTCCCTTATTGTCTGTTTTGGGTGCAATGACAGCCATGAAGACCAAATGGTCCCTTATTGTCTGTACAGGGTGCAATAACAGCCTTGAAGACCAAATGGTCCCTTATTGTCTGTACAGGGTAAAATGACAGCTTTGGAGACCAAATGGTCCCTTATTGTCTGTACAGGGTAAAATGACAGCCATGAAGACCAAATGGTCCCTTATTGTCTGTACAGGGTGCAATAACAGCCTTGAAGACCAAATGGTCTCTTATTGTCTGTACAGGGTGCAATAACAGCCTTGAAGACCAAATGGTCCCTTATTGTCTGTACAGGGTGCAAAGACAGCTTTGTAGACCAAATGGTCCCTTGTTGTCTGTACGGGGTGCAATGACAGCCTTGAAAACCAAATGGTCCCTTGTTGTCTGTTCAATTTTAATTTTTTACTGTAATTTCTTATGCTCAAAACAAATCGTAATCTTGCATTTAAGTTTTTTCTACATCTTCAATATTTTTCAAACCAAACTTAGTACCATTTATACATCTTTTACTAGAGTTAATCATTTTAATGAACAACTTACCCACACAGACCTACAGCTTGCTAAATCACTGAGTCAATCTAAGACAAAATAATTAATCTAAAAATCCTAATTTTAACTAACTAACATAACGAGAGAAGCTATAAATAACTAATTTTTACATATGAAATAACAAAATTATAGGAAAACCACCAAGGTGAAATAAAATGCAGACAACACACTTGTTCATTACAAGTCACGGTATAACATGATACTATAGTAACTGATATACTTAGTGGAAAGATGTTTCTCAGGATAAAACATGTCTTATCAAATACTGTTTAAAGTGTAACTAGAACAATTCTAATGATACTAGATGCACTTCTGCAGAATTCCCCGAAATGTTCTGTTTCAAGAGTAAACAAAACCAAACATAAAAGTAACAAATATTTTTATTTCTTGCTTTTGAAGTCAACACACAACTGCATAGTCATGTGAGTGGCTAAAACAGGTGACCACTTCAGGTAGCCTTTGGCCCCCTTTCAAGGAAATTACCCCAATCTGTATGTTTTTTATAACTACTACATTAAGCAAGCTTTATTATGACAGCAAAATTATAGAAATACTTTTATATATAACAGTATTTGAGTTATTTATCGAACTGTAGACAAAACTGTTTGCTCTCAACTATACATGTTGCTTGCACAGTGTACACAAAATGTTTATACTTCTTATTTGATATAGTCTAAAAGGATTAAAATGGCATGTTAATAGTGGAGGATAGTCAAATCAACTGGAATTAATATTAATAAACATTCAAAACAAATGAAATATGTAGTTTATACTTTATTACAATGCTGGCTCCTCCAGTTAAAGTAAAGTCTCAAAGTGCAAAAATCACCCAAACAGTTTCTGCTACATTTGTGGAAAATACACTACAGTTTCACAAAGGAAAAACATCACACTCAAGGTAAAAGTAGCTTAATACCACTATTTTGGGTGTAAAGTTGGTGACCAAGAAAAAAAAAAAATATTGTTACGACAGCGGAAGTCATGCGATGCTGGGAGCATGCACGCTAGAGGATCATGACTTATCAAGGAACCTCGCGAATGTTCCAGTGTTTGCTAGACTCTCTCTTTTTTATTATATAAGCCAGGGATAGATAGATATGCAGATAGAGATAATTAAGTCAAGCGAACAGTAGGCATCGTAAATACAGTGTGTGAACCACTGTGATTTATAGTGTGTGTTATAAAAGTTGTTAAGTTTAAAGTGACGGTGGAAATTCTGTGTATTACAAAGTTGTATCAAGAAAGAATAAACTAGTTTTAATTAAGAAAAGATTTGTATCGCTGAAGTTCCTCGGAAAGAATTTATACCAGAAATTAACAAACGAGCAGATACGTAATAATATTATATATAAAGAATGATGGACAATCAAACCAATTGGGATCAAGATTAATAAATATTCAAAACAAATGAAAACATTAAGTGTGTCATTAGAAAAATCACAATAGAAATGAAATACAAAAGTTTAAACAACTGAAACCACAAGATAAATTAAAAGTTCTTGCACTAATTACCACACTTCCATGTTAAAAAATCTTGTGAATTTCTCATTATAACTGTTTCGTGCTTTACAAGTTATTATTAATAGTTCCCAGTGAGATTTATATATTTATGTTTTTCAATTTTCTATTATACATTATTTGAAAATCATTTCTCTCTTTTTTCAACAAATTTTTATTCTTTGTTATTATAGTTTTCATTTTTGTTGAGTTCAAAATTTGCCTATTTTACGTAAAGAATCAAAACAAAACCCATAAATATAAAATTGAGAAAACTAGTTGGCATCTATTACTTTTAGATGCAAGGATTCTAAATAAATATAGTAGTCTTGTTTAAACAACTCAGTGCTCAAAATGTTAGAAAACAGAACTTTCAATCAAAGTTCTTAACTTAAGATTCAATTTGGCCTGATGGTTAGAGCACTCGACTCGTAATCTGAGAGTCACAGATTCAAATTCCCATTACCTGACATACTCGCCCTTTCAGTCATGGGGGCATAATAATGTGAAGGTCAATCCCACTATTCATTGTTAAAAAAGTTGGTAGTTGGTAGTGTTGACTAGCTGCCTTCCCTCTAGTCTATCACTGCTAAGTTAGGGACAGCTAGCCCTTGTAGTGGCCAGAAATAAAGTCACAGTTTTGGGTAGGAAAAAAGTCCTAAATTTTTTAATACCCAAACACAATGTAAAGTAATACAACAACAAATATTTTTAATTAGTTATTTATTACAATAATAGTATGATACATGATATGCAACATTATATGAAAAAGAGGCATATATGAAGTCAATCATCACATCAATGAGTGTAATAACTCAATAATTTACCTTCTATGAACTTAAAAAATTATAAATATAAATTTTCCAATTGTGACTTTTTTTCATACATTCCCCTCATGCAGTTTTGTGTGAAATTCAAACCAAACCAAGATTCCCTTAAAGCACTGCCACACTATGTACCCATTGTGTTTCTCATGTTTATCCTATAATCATAAGTCCTTCAAGTCTCTTATTATGTTAGTTGATTTAATTCAACTGAAAAAAGGTTTTTTTTTATATAAAAATAATACAATTACAGTTCATAAATCATACCCATGACCTGGTGATATCATGAGAGAGCAGTACACATTTCAATAAATTTAAAGACAATTTATAGGTTTCAAGTATGATGTTCATACTTTTAAGCTTTATTGGGTACTATGGCATAATATACATTTAAAACTTCTTTAATTTCAAGTCTTAATTAAGGTACTTTCAGTTTCATTGTTACTAATACAGATTCCACATAATATTTGTAATTTTGTTTCACACAGATTTAATATAATTAATTTCTATATAAGTAAATGGCTATTTAGATACTGTATTCTATTTGCCTGGTTGAAGTTTAATTTTTCTGTATATGTATTTTAGTATTTATCATTTCATGACAAAGCTCTAACGCTAAGACTATCTACTGCTATCCCTAATTTTCAACCACTAATCAGAGGGAAGACAGCCCGTCAAACTCAGAGCCCTGAAAATGAAATCGTGTGCAATTACACTCACAAGGCCAACTCATATCCTGAAATCATGATGAATATATCATTACAAATTATAGTACATAACAGTAGTATTTGTAATTTTAATAGGAGAAAAACAAAAATTATACTATGCATTATGGTTTACATCTGTTTATCATATCAATAATATCATTATCACACCTTTCCACATTTTCACACTGTATTTGTATTCCCTTAAATTAAAATTCAACAGTGAACTTGAACCGACCGTTTGAGTATAATATTTGTTATATAACTAAACGTCAATATTTGGCGCCATAAACAATGTGACTTGAATAATATACGTAATATGACAACTGTCCTCGTGACGATTCAAGTTTTCGTAAAGCATTAATTTTAAAAAAAAATGATAAAGTTAACTTACTATGACTGTATAACACTAACAGTAACACTAGTAGTAGTAACAGTAACTTAATTGTAATCGTAACTTAAGTTTGTAATTTTTTCCATGAAAACGCTTACTTTAACATCTATTGCTCGTCTTCTTCATAAAATGCACAACCACAAACGTGCTGATTTAATTAATAACTGGGTAAATATTAAATTTAAAGAAAATAATGATAACGTAAATATTTATAAATAAAATGAATTTAATTATATGTATTTACTATAAACTGATGTTTATGATTCCCTCACGCCTAACCAAAGAAATAACCAACATATCAAGGGAACGTTTAGAAATAACTAAATGATAAGTAGAATTTAACAAATTTAACTGTAACGCTTTTATTCCAGTAGAAGATTAACAACTTGTCATGTTTTAGTAATAAAAAAGAACGTTTTTTTTCAGCTAAAAGTGATATAAATTTGTAGTTCACATAAGGGATATTCAAAATCAGATAATTCCAAATAAAAAGTCCGGCTTCCAAGTTAAATAATTTGTATTTTGAGAAGCTCCAAACAACACCGCACTTCACAACATATCTCTTACCCTCTTTTTATTTGAATTAGCAAACAAAGAATTTTTTATTACTTTTCTTAAAGAGAATAATGTTTTTGAAAACAACTGCACTACCTTTACTCAAATTATTCCATATTTTCTGGTCATTTCGAGTGTCAATTTTTCTGTCTGTTAGGTCTTTCCTGAATCCATTGCAACTCTTCTAACCACGGCTGCACTCTCGTGCAATCTTTCTTCTAAGTCTTTCATTGTTTTAAAAGTTATTTTTCATGTCAGAAAAATTCAAACTTAGGACTTCAATAATTTATTTGTTTATTTTAGAATTTTAACGCAAAGTTGCACACGAGCTATCTCTGTAAAGTGTCCCTATTTTTGAAATGATAGCAAGGCAGTTAGCCAACAGTACCCATTTGAGCTAGTTTTTTGACAGAATAGTTTGATTTGACTCGCACTCTTATAGCGTATCCACGGTCTCAAAGTGTTGGGCGAAATTTTTCTGCAACGAGACACAAACCATAAATCTTTGTATACAAAGTCAATCTGCAAAAACAAATCTTTGGTCACCACATCAAGATTGTTCTTTAGAACACAGCTTGTGGTGATTTTAAGGGAAATGGAATCAATAATTTGAAATGGAAAGTGTAATATACATTTTACAGAAAAACAACTATTTTATTTAACACCAATGACACACAACTGTGACACGAGATAAAAACACTATTAAACGCCTTTTCATTAATAGTTCAGCTAACCTGTGTTGGCTACTTGGGCGATATGTAATTATCACGGATCTATCTCTCCTATTATATATAGTAAATATACTGTTCAAAAATTGTAAGTGTTCCTTGAGTTCAAGTTTATAACTTGCTAAATCCAAACAAGGTCGTGTGGTACTTCAATCCTAGGTGTTATTCTTTGGAGTACGAATCGGTCAAAAATGTTATGTTCGCATGGAATTGTTGGATTATACTTAATACCACTTCGGATATGAAGTTGCCTCTAAACTATCACGTAAGACATATACCTCGAATTCTAGTGATTCAAGTTAGTGGTTGCTGAGCTATAAAGAAAATGTGGATTGTGAGAACAGTTTGGTGCTTTCAGGCAATAATGTTTGTCTATCTTCTCTTCAGTAAAATTAGTGTTCTTTCAGTTGGAAATGTGTCAAGTTCTCTTTTGTTACTTTAACTTATAACTTCTCTTCAAATTCAGTTCATTGAGAAACATATTTATTATTTGTAGACAATTGCCAATCCATTTTCAAATACAGTTTGTTTTCACTGAAATACAGTTTTCTTTCTATCGTCTTTAGTTTCAACCAATGCCGACATTACAATAATAGACTCTTACCACCACAAATAACCTTTGATCCAAGGATCCCTGTTTGTTAATAACATATTTATTTTGTATACATTCTTGTTCATTGAACCAACAACGAAAAAAACCTAGGCTTGTCCTTCCACATACTATATTCACATGCTTCTAGTTGTTATAGTGATCACATAAATGAGTGCTCAGTCTATTACAAATAATTGAATAATGAGTAAACAATTTCACCATACGAAGACCAAAACCTAACAAACACCAAGAGAAGTACTTGGAAAGAATTGAGTCCTGCTTAGAATTATATTACAATTCCAAGCTCCACCAGAACTTTTATTATAACAAAATGGTATAAGCTATCAGCCAAATCCCATTAATAGAAAAAAGGAAACCAGAGTTTTTCGCTTCTTTATTTCCATACTTACCTAATATGATAGACAACTCACTAAGACCAGTTCACAAGTTACCCAAAAGAGATCGACTAGGTGAAAACACAAATAAGTTTCGAGCCAAGACTATAAACTTGTGAGACAAACTAAAGTTAAAATTAACATAGTTCAAGGGTGGGTACATAACCTAATGTCAGAATTAACATAGTTCAGAGTTCAAAAGTGAACACATTTTGTTCGTCTAATACTTGAAACTGAGTACAGAAACCTGTACTAAAATAATAATGAAAAAAAAGAGATACATTCATACAGAATATTATAACATAACATAATGTTTTGGGACAACATGGGATTTTTTGATCCATCTTGGCTGTTCCATTCTCTAAACTAAATTAAAATAATTTAAAAAAATCTTAAAGCCAGCTCTTATCATTTATATACTTATCAAGCTTTTTCTTAAACTCACCATGGTTCGAATCCCCGTCACCCCAAACATGCTCACCCTTTCAGCCGTGGGGGGTGTTATAATGTTACAG